TGGATAATTTCCACGGCACACCTGACGATCACTCACGGCACACTAGTGTGCCGCGGCACAGTGGTTGAAAAACACTGGATTAAAGTACTGTTTTGGTGCAGAATTCCTTCTCTTGCTGAAAAAACACCAACAGCGTGATGCTCGCACCATCTTGTTCCATGGTGGGGATGAGGTGTGCACGGTAATGTGCTGTGTTAGTTTTCTGCCCCCTACCCAAAATCTCAGTTTTGGCCCCATCTGACCAGAGCACTCTCTTCCACATGGATTATCAACTTCATGTATTATCATGACCTACTTTCTCAGTAATTTGCCTAGTTATCATTTGAACTTGTAAAGTACTGACATTTCATTTTAAATACTTAAAATAAAACTTAGATATGTTAATGGTGACATTACACTTAAAAAAATGACGCCCTTAAAGTTCAGTGAAACAATGGAAATTCCACATGCCTAAACCCAAACTGGTAATGCATAACGGGTATTTTATTATGCTGACATACACATCAAGATAGGCATATGACAGCAGTTGAATGTCAATATGGGCTAAACATCAAGAGCTCCTAAAATACAACCCATTTCATAACATACACCCCAACCACATTCAAAAATTGTATGAATGTGCTTGTTTCAGAGGGTTATCAGTCCCTTGATGTTTGGTTTGACTTTGCCAAATTTCAAGTCAAATAGCCTAAATGTTTTTTTTTAAGAAAATTGTTTATATGTGGAGTATCTCACTTCATGAGATCAAACAAATGTTTTGATTACACAGCTCACTAAGGCATTCCTAAGCTTGAGTCTTAGGAATGCGTCTAGTTTTTGGATCACTAGTCCATGTCAAGTCTGAAGTTACTTTTTTAACAACTCAAGTGTGTGTTGGGTCTATTTCTAGAGACTAGGGTCACCATTTTTCCTTCAGAAATGAATTACATGGCAATCCTCAACAACAAAATTAAGAGGTATGGATTGGTGCACCGTTTCAGAGGCCAGCCAATTTATCGGCGCCGTTTTTCTTAATTTTTGATCGACCACCAATCCACCAATCATATTTACCTCAGCAAAGATCTAAAAATCTCTTTATCTGCCGAAAGAGAGGTCAACAATAGTCACCCTGCTGTTGCCAACGAGGCGACTGTGATTATATAGTTAGCAGAATTACAAACAAAAAAAAATTGGTATCGGCCAAAACCAGAATTGGCAGGTCAGACTTCTTAAAGTTCTGTAATCGAAGTACTAAAGTTAGCGTACTTTAAAAGTCTTCCCCACAACAATCCAGAAGATAGCCTACATGTAAAGGTTAATCTCCTTCATATAGATTTAAATAAAAGAGCTTAATACGTAGGTTCTCTATTATTGTTGCGCTATGACAAGTCACCAGAAGCTTTCAGAATCTTAAGAGGATGTCGTTTTAATGTCTGCATAGAATCTACGATAAAATGTGTCATTACTCAGCAAAAATCAACCACCATTCTCAGCTTCTAGTTTTACTTAACATACTTAATTTAAAAGTTGTAGTAACCCAAGTAGTAGTAGTCACAGTAGTGTGACAAAAGAACAACACAAACTGGGTTCAGGGTAAAAGAAAATAAGGTAAAGAAACAGAAATTGAGCCATAATCAGGTTCTGAAGAGTAATAATCAGGTTTAGGTGAAAGAATAAAATAAAAAGATTTCTTTCTGAGTCAAGGCAGACCTTGTAGATGTGAGCCTTCAGAATATGATGTCCCAGCTGCAGTGTCTGCTGTCGGCTCAGTTTTCCCTCCTGTCTGCAGAACCAGAAAGCCAGCAGGGTGTGTCCACTTCTAGAAGCAGAGAGACAGATGGATCAGAGAAAACAGCTACGCTCTTTTCATCAAAACATCCCAGAACCAAAAAAGCAATATGATGACAATGACTTTTCTCATAGCTAAGTGCTAATCTGATTGTAGTGTGATTACAATGGTGCATAGCTGACCATCTAACATTATGAAAGCATATGGTCTGCCAGTACCATATGCTGTCAGACACCACAGACACGATGATCTTGTCTGCAAACTTCACTTTGGACATGACATTTTTAGGGTGGTGAGCAGACAATGAGATCGAAAGACTTCAGCTTTGCCTTCATTTCATTAGACTGTGATATATTCTCCCAATATATCATTTGCTTGCCAAATTTTATGCAAGAAAGCTAACATGTTTCAATGTGCTTTTTCTTCAACAGTGGAGTCTTGGGCTGTGAATGCACATTGAGGCCATTTTGAAGTCTGAATTTCTTTACATGTGCTGCCTGGCTCTTGGAAAACTCTTGTGAACTCATCTGTAATGTGTTTAATATTCTTTTCCTGTGTAATTTCAAGTTTTTACCCATAATCCCATTTGAACAAACTTGCTTTGTTTCTTTGTATGAGTGGATTGCTTGAGTTGTTGCAGTCATCTGGTGTGAATTTTATGTCCCTCATACAAAAATGTGACGAGTCATTTTACCAGCTATATGTAAGGCAAATAACTCAAATATTTAGTAAGTTTATTAAAAAATTTTGTGCATGCACACTTAAACTTTATAAGATTTTGGGTCCAGCTGCATCTCAGGATACCTTGGGTCACAGAGGAACCTGTCATCCTGCCCCTCCTCCCTCCACACTAGCCACTCCCTGAAGGAGGCATGGTTAAGCATCCTGCTGCCGTCACTCCGCTGTAGCAGGAAAGAAGAGAGCTGATCTAGGCGATGTGTAAACTCCCCCCACTGGAATGTTTCTCCACTGAGGCAACCTGCATTCACCACCTCAAACAACTTGGGAAACAGTGAATACAGAAGTTAGATTACCTCTGCGGTTGATTAAAGTGGCACCAATGTTTGGTTTTTATGACCTTTAAAAACTGGTACATACCTGCTGATCAGTCAGTGGGTGGAGCGAAGCCACAGTAACATTGAGCAGAGGCAGTACTCTTTGAAAAGATGACTGGGTGGGAAACCGCATGTTAAGCTGTAGCAGGTACACTTCTGCTAGGTTGACCGGAACCACCTACAAGCAAACACAATTGATTATCTACTTCACACAGTTTGGCATTCTCACATCTTTCTTTGCAAATGTAGTTTATTAAATTTGTTTCCATTCTGTAACAATAACCCTATCCTCACCTTAAAGCTAGAACTCTTCAGAACAAGGTAACCTCCTTCAATTAGGTCAAGGGTCAATTTCAGGTAGAGGTAAGAGCCTTTGCTTAGGCTCTTCAAGTGGCTGATCATCTTGGTCAGTGCTGTGTTGTCAAGGCGACCATTGCCCAGCGACACATTGCTCTGGATACCAGGGCTGCTGTGGATACGCTGCATCAAGTAATGCTGAAACACAAAAAACCCAGATGCATACAGTGATTGGAAAAAGTATTAGCCACTTTACAGACTTCTTCTGTTCTTGATTTTCATACTTCAGTGTTACACATCATCATCATAAGCTTAATGATTCGAAAACATAGTTTTCTATTTCCTTATTCAAGAAAAAAGACAAAAGACATCCAAATCAACCTGCAGTATGTGCAGAGTTTCCCCCAGTGTATTATAGGCCTGGCGGCCGCCATGCTTTACTAGCGCCACCGCCAGGCTGGCTTTTTTCTTTTTTTTAATTTAAATAAAATAAGAAAAAAAATAGCCTTTTTTTAAGCCGGATTGCAAGTGTTTCTGTTGCTCCGAGCGTTTCACTATCAGACCAGATTTATTCCTAAAATATATGTTTATAGAAGATATATTTATAGTTTATGCATTTAAAGCCGGATCAATCACACCACTGGCCTCTGCGCGTTAACCTCAGCGCGGATCCCACGCTCCTCCTTTCACTCGAACTGGACACAGGCTGACCGCTATGGATATTTACATCAAGCCCCTGTGAGGAATTATGATTAGTTATGAGGAGTCTTCCATGTTAAGTTTAGGTCTGTGTTCCCGGTTGGCCAGGAACACAGACCTGGTGGTTAACGACCCAGCGCTAATCACTCATTGTGTAGGTTTAACCTGGTGAGGAGCTTTCGTGCTCTTCTCGCAGTCACGCATCACGATGATTTTATATTATTTTATTATTATTACTAGTATTATTTTTCCAGTTATGCTAAGCACCAAACCATAACAAATATTTTGCCCAC